CAGGAATGCAGCATCATTGGGATTTGTTGGTTGTTTTAAAGTTTGGATCCTAATTTTGCACTGAAGCATCCTCAGTCTTTCATCCAGTCCTGCTTGTAAACAGGAGCAAGCATCAGCCAAACCGTGAGTAGAGTAAAGATTGCATTTTGCAGTTACAGAAATGTTTTCTTCTGTGTGAAGCTGTCACATGCCGGACTTAAGTTGGCACCCACCTTTTAATGAAACGAATAATTTGGACTTTTTAACCAAACCCTTCTCTTGGTTAACCACAGGAGAAGGTGATAATAAGCAACAAGGAACCCCAAAGTATTCTCTTTTTGTGCTAAGTGGTGGATCAGAAGTCAAGAGGCATGACTGAACCACAGAAAGGTTAATTCAGTGATGACACTTCCTTCTCACACATGGTCAAAGATGGAGCTGTCAATTGTCAGTCATCCCTTATCTCTGAACTACTGTGACTACATGTCAGTTCCATTTCCTCTGGGATGGATTCAGATTGGCTCCTCTTTAGCCTCAACAGAAATGAATATAGAGATGCTGCTTTCAGAGTCTACATATTACAACCATAAGGCCTTACAGCCCGCCTGTAAGTAGGTTTCAATAATTTCATTTTCCAGGGAAAAGTCACAGAACTCCACATCTGGAAGGAATTTTAATTTTATAGATGATGTATGGAAAAGTTAAATGTAGGCAGGCTGCCCACATAAAAGGTATGGGGAATAACATAACTTTTAGTCCCCAGAAACCATCAAATACATTGGCTATTTACAGCCTGTCTTCAAGGCTCTCTTGTTCACATTTCCATCTTCATACATTGGCTTCCCCCTCTCCCAACATGAGCAACAGTAAACCATCACTCTTAAACTTTACATATGCTGTTTTTTAATTCTCTGGGAACTTTCCATGACATAGCGGAGGGTTTCATGGGGATTTAGCTCCGTCTCAGAACCTCCTTAGCCAATAAACCAAATATCTTCTAAAATACAAAATAAAGAATCAGATTAGATTCCGGCCAAACCCAGAACCCTAGGAAAAGCTCCCCATTTTCTAAAGTTTTCATCTCTGGAGTCTTAGTTCCAGCATACAGATTCCATATTGTCGTGGGTCAAAAAATGATGGGGGTGGTGGGACACAGTCAAAGACAAATTCAAATGATTAAATGAGGGCAGCCCAGAAATCTGTCCTAGAATAGTGTCCTAATCATGAAGTCTGAGTTTCATCTCCTGAAATTGTTGCTTCTTATTACTACGTGTTGGGTCAAAAGGAGGGGGTGTTGTTTTGGGGGGGAAGGATGGAGGTGCCACAGGCTTTGACCATGCCCCTCACTTCCTCCTCCTCCCACCCTATGCCCCTCCTCTTCCCCTCTCCCTTTTCCTCCAACTGCTCTGCAACAGCATCTTAGAATGTAAAAAACTAACAATCTTAATAAATAAATAATTTTTTTTAAAAAGTAAATGGACGGGGAGAAAAATTAACCTGGAGGTGCCACAGGCTTTGACCATGCCCCTCACTTCCTCCTCCTCCCACCCTATGCCCCTCCCCTTCCCCTCTCCCTTTTCCTCCAACTGCTCTGCAACAGCATCTTAGAATGTAAAAAACTAACAATCTTAATAAATAAATAAATTTTTTTTAAAAGTAAATGGACGGGGAGAAAAATTAACCCCCCCATGGAAATATAAGCAGAAAATCAATAGACTCTTGTGGCTCTAGTTATTTTTTTTTAAGTAAGTGTTTTTAATAGACCAAAAGAGTCTTTATGAATTAACATGTATGTGAATAACGTTTGTAAAAGGGATATAATGTGTTAGTCATTATGGATTATTGTATAAATAAACCTTAGATATATAAAATATATAAATATATAAAAATTATTGCATAGGGCAGTGGACACATAAGGACTTCTAAACTTTGTATTTTTGTTCCAAAAAATAGAGAGTTCCAGGGCTGGCAGCTTATTTTCTTAGTATATTCCACTGTAAAGTCAAGAGGTTTAGGGTTTTTTTGGTTTGTTTTCTGGTTTTGTAATTTATAATGATATGTATGGATTACTTCAAAATGTCTGTTGCATGTGTGTTGGTGTTGTTTACCTACCTGGAGTGATCAGAGATTTATTCCACACTTTTATCTTGGAAAACCAAAAGAATTTTCTAGTAAGAAGAAAAACATACAGAATGTGTCTTCACTATTGGGTAACTCTCAGATTTGTACCGCTCAAAGCTCTTTTTAAAAACTGAGCTAATGGCATGTTTAATATCAGAGTCATTGTCTCTCACTTAAATATCTAGTATTGGATAATGTTTCTCCTGCGGAGCACATATTTTTGTCAAGTCCTTTTTTCTTGGACTTGACATGTTCTTCTAGAGGAAACCAGAAGTCTTGGCCCTAAGCCATCTCATTTCAGGACCAGTCTCTACCATTGGTTTTCAAGAAATGACTCATATTAATTCTGTTTTATGTTCTGTGATTCTGTGGTAGACTCAATGCTTTCAGAGCCCAGAGTTTTACTGATTTGGGTTTGTGGCTCAAATGAAGTGCTAAGTTGGCTGCTTACCACCAAGATTGATCAGAATAAGCAAAGGGGAAAAGGCAGGGCTCCCTTACTGGAGAGGTCCATTCACACTTTTTACATCAGTGGAACGGAGAACTGCGCCAGGAGCCAGAAACCTGCGTATGAACCATCTGCTCTTCATGCAGGGAGGGGCCGACTGTGTGAAAGTGCAGAGATTACCCAAGTCTCCTTTGCCAAAAATGTGTATTGTTCCCAGCTGTGAGCTTGTGAAGTCCGATATGTGCTTAGCATGAAACAATAAAAACAGGTTTATTTTCATTTAATAGAGTTGTCCCCTAGGCCTTGTTTCTTTCAGTAGCTAGTTTAGAGAGGGCAGTACTTTATCATAGATTAAATGTCAACATTGGGCATTTAATTTCTCCCAGAGGGCTTTAGCTCCTGGCAGCTGCTTTGGACATCCAAAACGGAGGGCCAGGAATACAGGAATCACTCTGTCAGATAGACATTGCTTAGGTGGTGGGAGATGGTTGAAGGAGGGACAAGTAACTTCCTCTCAAGGCTGACCAGGCTGAATTAACCTCTAGAAAGGCCAATTCTGGTTTGTACAACCACGTGGGCCTGAGAAGCCCTCTTGGCTGGAAGCCTACTCTGCCTGCTTATTGCAGAGTTTCTTTTGTTTGTTTGTTTTTGTTTTTTGTCCTTTTTTTGTGACCGGTAAGGGGATCGCAACCCTTGGGTTGGTGTCGCCCGCACTGCGCTCAGCCAGTGAGCACACCGGCCATCCCTATATAGGATCCGAACCCACGGCAGGAGCGCCGCTGCGCTCCCAGCGCTGCACTCTCCCAAGTGCGCCACGGGGCCGGCCCCTTATTGCAGAATTTAAGAGCACAGCCTCAAAAGCCTGCCTGTGTTAGCTATGTAGCGTTGGGCAAGTTACTTAACCTCTCTGTGGCTCAGATCCCTTTTCTGGAAAATGAAGATATAAAAGTACCTGCCTGAGGGATGTTAAGGATTAAATGTTCTAAAACATGTAGTGCTTTGAACAGAGACTGTCACATACGAAATGCTTACTAAAATAGTTTTACCACCTTCATAATGTTTGCTATACCTATCTACCATGTATGTTATTAACTTAATATTCTTATTTTGATTGACTCAATTTTCATCTAAAATTTAATTTAAAAGAAAACTTTACATCCCAACTATAAATGAAAAACTAGTATAATTTGCTATAAATGTAAAGTAGCCATAAAAGAGTAATACCTCATATTTACTGAATCCTTACTACTTGCCAGGCATTGTGCTAAATGTCTGGATGTATTATAATCCTCACAGCCCTATGAGGTCAGTACTCTTACCATCCCCCTTTATAGATAAGGAAACTGAGAAATAGGGAGGTTAGCAAATTCACCTGTACAGTAGTTGCACAATTAGTAAATAGAGGAGGCATTTCTGGCTCCAGAACCCAGGCTCTTCAGCACTGAACCATGCTGCTGCCTTAATAAAAACAAAAGTATTTGATTCACATGGTAGATGTTCACTCTGTTAGCTTCCTAGTGCTGCAGTAATATGACCCCAAGCTGGGTGGCTTAAAACAACAGAAACTTATTCTGTCACAGTTCTGGTGGCTAGAAGTCCAAAATCAAGATGTTGGCAGGGCCATGTTCCCTCTAAAACCTTTGTGGGGGATTCTCCCTTGCCTCATCCGGCTTCTGGTAGCCCCAGGCATTCCTTGGCTTGTGGCAGCATCACTCCAGTCTCTGCCTCCATCTTCACATGGCCATCTTCCCTCTGTGTCTCTATCTCCATGTCTCTTCTTCTCTTATAAAGACACCAGTCATATTGGATTAGGTTCCACCCTAATGACCTCATCTTAACTTGGTTACATCTGCAAAGACTGTATTTCCAAATAAGGTCACATTCAAAGGTACCAGGGGTTAGGACTTCAACATGTCTTTTTGGGGGTCAGGAAGGTGGGGGAGACACAATTTAACCAATAAAAATTACCTACGTAAGGCTTTGAGCCTGGGGCCTTAAGAAGATTTGCAAGTGTTAGAGAGGTGTTCAGAATTAGCACCAACCTGAGACTTTCTACTGTAAGCAATCAAGATTGAAGGAGTCAGAACCTGGGAAGGACAATGGCTTATGTGCTTTAGTGACATTTAGTGCCCAGTGCAGGTGCTAACTAAAATTAACATCTCTTGTCCCATCACCAATACTTTGGGTAAAGTCGTTTGGCGTAAGAAAGTCATGTAACAGTTCTTCCAGCCTCCCAGACATCCCTCATGAAAGGATGGCAGTAGAAAAATGGTGTGTGTGTGTGTGTGTGTGTGTGTGTGTGTGTGTGTGCAACTTACCAAAACTCGGGGGGAGGGTGCAAGCACAGAAGTCACCTCTACAACCTGCTTTATATGGCTGGGCTGCAATAGCAAATTCAGACAAATAATAAAGTCTTCATCAAGGGAGTGTGTAAAGAAAGAACAACAGTAGAGACAGTAGCAGGGGAAATCATTTATTTTCATTCTGTTTCAATGGAAAGAAGAAAAACAATCTTTCTACTAAGAAGGGTTCGAGAGGAAGGAGTGGGAGAGTGAGAAGTTATCTTGCTTTGTCAAACCAGGGCGTCTTTAGTTGAAGGGACTGCACAGAGTTCATAGAGTTGGGAGGTCCTCATCTTGAGTTCCCGGGCCACCTGACAGATGGAAAAAGGCCAACAGCAGTGCACCGCCAGCCAATCCTCACACAGTGTTCCCTAGGACAAGATCAGGATCTCTGTTCTGTAGAAATCGCACAGGTTCTTTTCCATTACCCGGGGACCTGTACAACATTATCTGTTGGCCCATCCTGCTCACTGCTTCCAAGATCCACCGACATCTTTAAGTCAATGCTCAGGGACACAGGGTTGCCCAAGTGCCAAGCAGCTCAATTGCTAATCAAAACCTGCAATTCAGAGCTCTGACCTTAGGACTTTTAATATAAACCTCATACTTGAAACCACTGATTTCTCTGTCTTGGTTTTTTTCTCTTAGAATCTAATATTTATAATGATCTTCTTTATTTCTTTGGAGTAGATAATGAGTGCACACCTGGTCCAAAACTCTCACAGTAAGAAGGGATAGGAGGTAAAAACTGAATCCCCGTCTCTAGCTGTCCCCAGCCATCCAATCACCTGCTTGGGGGGCAACTGTTGTTACCAGTTTCTTGTGTATACTTCCAGATAAATTCTGTGTCTACATAAGCATCTACATATACAGTCTTTTTATGTAAATAGTTGCATACTTCTGTACCTTGCTTTTTTTCCCCCCACTTAAAAATATATCATAGGTATCGTTCCACAGAATTATATAAAGAGAGGCCTTTTTTTTTTTTAACTGTCCACATCTTAATATGGATGACCTATCTCTCTCCAACCTTTCTTGCATCTCAGTGTCAGCTGTGCTGGAAATTAACTATCTGTCTCATTGAAAGGCTCCCAGGGAACCCCCAGAGTGAAAGCTGCATATGTCATGTAAGACTGTATTTTAAGTCAGACCTCCCAAACACATCCTCCAAATCTGGTGTAATTCCACCTGTCATCTTCTCTTGATGTAATGAGACAAAGAGACAGAAGTGTGGTTTTATTCCTATAGATGGAAGGGAATGTGTGATCGTTTAGGGAGTAAGACTAATCACAGATATATCCTACTATTACTCTTCATCAAAGCACAGCTCAAGGAAGACAATTCGGCCAGTGGATTGGGTAAACCTATTGACCAACAATCCACATTATAACATCCCTGTAGAAATTCCCTTTGCAATACGGCATTTTAGCTGACTTATGCTCCATGGTAAAGAGTGAAATCAGAAATCTCCCTTTCCCAAAATTTTCTACTAAGTGTGGCATTTTTAAACATCCTTGCCCACACTCTTTTCCACATTATAACATCCCTGTAGAAATTCCCTTTGCAATACGGCATTTTAGCTGACTTATGCTCTATGGTAAAGAGTGAAATCAGAAATCTCCCTTTCCCAAAATTTTCTACTAAGTGTGGCATTTTTAAACATCCTTGCCCACACTCTTTTCTTTTTTTTTTTTCCTTTCCTGAAAATCACAGGTTTCGAAGGCATCCACGTTCTCATATAGATCCAGGTTCATATATACTTTCAAACACACTTACCCGTATTTTATGTCTCTCTCTGGTGCCAATCCTCAGTGCAAGTGTGGACCCAGGTAACAATGGCCAAAAAAGACACTCTCCATAATGCCTGGCAATGTCACACTCAAGACACATTGGACAAAATAAACCGCAGAAACCTATCAACAATCACATAAAAGAATGTCAAGGTTCTCAGATGTTCTTGGAGTAACTTCACATCTCATTGAGCATTTACAACCCTATGCCATCAATTTAATGCTGCATTTTCTCCCTGCAATCCAGGACTGAGACTGAATTCTCAAAATTCAGTGTTTGAAAATTGCCATAACTGAGCCACATCAAAATTGTTTTCTTTTGTTAAACACTGGCAATACCGAACTTAATACAATTCTGTTAGCATTGACTACGGTAATTGCTTTTTCCTGTCAAGAGAAAAGTGTTGAATAATTTTTTACACTTGAATCATAACTATTACTTCTATTATGTTCATCTAGTTTCAGTATCTAAAATAGATACAGTGTATGGGATACTTTTGAATAACAGATATCTTTTCTATAAATGTGATTAAAAGCTCTTTTAGGCACACGATTCTTCCTCTTTATCAGTGCTTTATTCTACTTCTCAGACCAGAAGGTTATTCTAATTTTTGTTAGTTTCACGGAGCCCCTGACATCTGCCAGTTTTAATCTGCAAACTATTAGGGCCTTGGTTCTTTTAACATCAACTAGAAAACAGTTTGTCATTTATTAGTTCATTCATCTTTAACTACTGATGTTTCCTACACGTTCTGCATGAATCTTCTAACACAGAGGTTCTATTCTAAACATGTTCTGGGTCACAGACCCTTTTGAGAATATGATGATAGCTTTGAACTCACTCCACAAGGGAAAATAACCATGCACACAGACATGCAAAGTTGTGCATTCAATTTCACAGCATTCGTGGATCCACTGAAAACTATTAATGCACCATAGATTAAGAACCCCCATTATAGAATTAAAATGTTATGTCATCTAGCATTGCAAAATATGACGACCCTAACAAATGCAAATACTTAGAACTATAAAACAGCATAATTACCAAGCTCATCGTAATCTTCAGAAAATGTACTCAATAAATATTTTTTCATTGAGGCCTAAATTATATACCTGAAAATACGGAGGTCGTAAGTGTTCAGTTTTGACAATCATATTCACCCAAGCAACCAAACACGTAGAACATTGCCCTAACCCCAGAGTTCCTTTTGCTCCTTTCCAGTCAGTTCCAACTCTCCCACTCCCCACTCCAGAGGCAACCATTGTTCTGATTTCTATTCCCACAGATGAGTTTTGCCTCTTCTCGGACTTCACATAAATGGAATCATGTTTGTTTTTGTACCTGGATTCTTTTGTTTAAAATTATGTTTTCTGAGATTCATCTGTGTTGCTATGTGAATCTATAGTTTGTTCTTTTTATCGTTGAGTAGTATTCCATCATATGAATATTCCACAAAATTGTGTATTCCATTCCCTCATTAATAAACATTTGGTTATTCTATTTTTTGCTATTATGAATTAGACTGCTATGAATGCTCATGTTTAAGTCTGTGTGGACATGTTTTTATTTCACTTGGATGGATTTCTGAAAGTGGTATTGCTAGGTCATGAGGTAGATATATGTTTAACATTACAAGAAATGACAAACAGTTCTCCAAAGTATTTGTACAATTTTACACTCCCAGCAGCGATGTACAAGAGTTTTAGATGTTCCACATCCTCACCAACATTTGCTATTATTAGTCTTTTTTATTTTAGCCATTCTAGTGAGTGTGAAGTGGTAGTCACCATAGCCACTTAGTGCATCAGACACAAAGGTTCACATATCCTGACACCAGCACACTGGAAGAACTTCCTGTCAATGGCTTGTCTCTGCCAACCCCACCCTCCCCAGTAGCGAGCTCTGCAAAGTCCCACTCCCAAATTCGTTGACAAAGAGGCAAAAAGCAAGGAATGCTGTTTTATCTTAGAACCTCCAAAGAATGTTCCAGAACTCTAGACTTCCTTAACTCCTCTTAGTGGGTGAAGTAACACACATACACAAAGAGCATGAGGGCTGGAGGGAGTGGGGAAGGAGTAGCTTATCTTCGAGGGGCAGGACATCTATTTCATCCATTCAGGAATCACTAAATCATCTACTGTGGGCATCACTTGCCCAAAGCAAACTTTGACAAATAAGTCTGGAATATTTCAATCTGCATTAAAAAAAATTCCAGGGAGATCAGCAGGCCCCACCCAACACTTACAACTGGTGTGAACGGCTTAGAGGACAGCAAATGACTCGGTAAACTTACAGAGTACATAGTGGTCACACTGTATGCAAATTTGAATTAGGGGAATTTGAAATCAATGGCACATTAAAAATCAATAAACTCTCATTTTATGCCTGGATTACAAAATAGTGTAGATCCTTGTAAATAAAAAAATTAATAAAAACTTGCATAAGTGTAAAGCTGGCAAACTAAATGAATAATAGTGTTTACACAATTGCCCCAGCTGCATCACTTTAACTAATAAGGAGGAATGCCCACCATCCTTAGTAAGCATACTGTAAAAAAATTGTTGTTTATGTGCATTGGAACTCCTGCACCATGCTTTTATGATGCATATGCCGTTTTAAAAAACACATGCTGTTATTTTTATTTTTTATCGTTTTTGTCATATAATCATGTTATCTAAGTGCTCACTAGGAGGTGATACTAGATGCTGAAGGAAACACACCCAAAATTCAATTACTTTGAAGCAGAAGTCAGATGTGACTTTAAAAAGCACTATGAAGGACAAATCTTTTATTATATAATAGCTAATATTTAAACAGAGTTCACTATGTGTGAAGCCCTGCTAAAAACACTTTGCATATATGAAATCATTTAATCTTTGTGCCAATCCTATAAAATAGATACTCTTATTATCCCCATTTTACAAATGAGGAAACTGATGCTCAAAAGATTTAAGTAATTTGCCCAGGTTCATACAATTATTAGTGACAGGAAGAGGCCAGATTTGAACTCAGGTAGTCTGGACCCAAAGTCTTAATTATTACACATATGTCCAAATTTTTCTAAGTTTGTTAATATCATATGTTGCAGGCAGCCATAGTGAAATAGGTACTCCACACACAGATGGAAGTGGAAATTGGCATAATCCCTTGGGAAGACAACTTTGCTAAATCTATTAAAATTGAAAATCCCCTAGGACCCAGTAAATCCGCTTATCAGTATCTACCCTAGAGTAATACTTACACATGCATACAAAGAGGTGGGTACAAGGATAGTCACTGCAGCATCATTTGTAACTTGACATTGAAAACAACATAAATGTATATTAATAAAGTGCCAATAAGCTACAGGTATAATGGTATAACCATATTGTGAAATAATTAAGAACGCAGTGAAAGATCAATTAAGTACCAATAGAGTTAAATCTCTCTAAGACATATTTTGAAGTAAAAAGTCAAATTGCATATTGATATATATAGCATAACACCATTTATGCTTTGTTTAAAGAGTTACAAAGCAATAGTACATGTTAAGTATATATGTAAATACAGAGAAAAAGATCTGGAAGGAAACCTTCTAAATTGATTTTTAAAAAAAGAGAGAACATGGTTCCCTTTTCTGTAATAATTTCATTTTCTTACCAGGTGGACATATTCACACGTTATTAGTGAAATAAAAATTGTTTTCTTTTTCTTTTAAAGGAGCTCAGGTTCAAAAGGGATTTGAGCCACAAATTCAGCCTCTTGCTCTCACACCTAAAGACCTGGTGGTTATATAAACACCCGCAGCCTAGATGATCCTATTCTCCTAGATGGGCTCCACCCTCAGGAGTGGAATGTAGTTTATTATTCATTCCTCTAACTCATAGCAGAGCCAAGATAAAGAGAAGCCTACACAAAACCAGAGTGTGGAGACCCAGAGAGTAGAAGTAGGAAAGGTGGGTGGAAATTACAGTGAGGGAAATTTCAGATCAATTATTACAAACAGGCAGAAATTTCTAACAATTAAAGATCCTCACAAAATGAAAGGGACACACTCATACATTGCCAGTGGGAATGTAAATTAGTACAACTTTCAAACAGAAAGCCATTTGGCAACATTTTTCAAGATTTAAACTGGCACATACTATTTGACCAGCAGATCTATTCCTCAGCAATTATCCATCAGATATGCTCACACACATGCAAAATGACATCTGTACAAGGATATTCACATTGCATTGGTTTGAATAGCAAAAAGTCTGGAAACCACATAAGGATTCACCAATAGGAATTTGGGGATAGATAAACTATGGTACATTCGTACAATGAAATCTTTGCAGCAATTTAAGAAACTAGCTCAAGATGTGCTGATATGGTCTGATTACTTAGATATATTGTTAAATTAAAACAAAACAAAGGTGCAGAACAATGTGTGTTTACAATTCTACCATTTGTGTAAATTATACGATAGATAAACTATGGTACATTCGTACAATGAAATCTTTGCAGCAATTTAAGAAACTAGCTCCAGATGTGCTGATATGGTCTGATTACTTAGATATATTGTTAAATCAAAACAAAACAAAGGTGCAGAACAATGTGTGTTTACAATTCTACCATTTGTGTAAATTATACACACACACATAAGCAAAAAAAATCTCTCTAAATATTAACAATAGTTATCTCCAAGGGCTGGTATTATAGGATACTGCTTTTTTCTTTTACGGTCTTTTGTATTTTTCTTTTTTATAATGACATGATATTTTTATTTAAAAATTTTTTATATCTTTGTAAGTACACAGACTATATCTGGACTCAGGTAATAAGAGTTGCCTCTGGAGAGAAAAACTGGGTAGACAGAGAGCAAGGAGTAACTATTTGCTCAATATACAAAAGGCATAGGTACTTTTGAATCAGCATTGTGTCCATGGTAACCTATTCAAAATAATATTTTTTGAGCACTAAGCTGGCTGCAAAGGAGATGAACCCTTCTTTCTGGAATTGTTCAGAAAACTGAGCCTGTCAGGTCTTTGCCAGGCATGCTGCAGAAAGCATTTAGGCAAACAGGTGAGGGGCCAGACCAGCTGACCCCAATATCCCTTCTAACTCTGAGGCTGTATGATTCTTTCGATGAAGTATAAGA